GTGTGTGTGTGTGTGTGTGTGTGTGTGTGTGTGTGTGTGTGTGTGTAACTAACTGAAAGAGATGAATCACTCACCAGGCGTTCATGTCAAATCTCATGGTCAAAATTACTTCTATTAGTCAGTCAAACAGCCTTTGTGCTTTCTATCCTAAAGATAATGAGTGTGGTGAGGGCATCTGCTCTGCAATAAGAAGACCCGGATGTATCTTAGAAACCTCTGCTCTTGTGACACAGGAGCTCAATTTGAGAATTTGATGAGTTGAAAATGACACTTCATTCTCAACCCAAGTATCAAACACTGAATGGATTATCACAGCAAGTTTAACTTACAAAGTTACACAATTTATTTTCCTGGATAATCATTTTTATGGAGATCTATGAAATACAAGTGTTCATCTTATATTTGTAAATGCTGCAATAAAAAGGTGGAGATGACCATTAGAAGTGTGTCTTTTGTAGAGCAAAAGCGTTCCCATAATGTCTGTGCTTGATACAGATATATTTGAGATTACTGATACATTTGAGATTACGGCTTACTTTGGTACAGACACACAGAGCTGAGACACATCAAAACAGAACTTGGTGCCACACAACCAGGTTACCTTGCTTTAATGAGAACAAACTATATGTGTATGTTATGTATAATAGGCCCAGGATTAAAATATCATGCTTGCAGTCTCGAAATGTGTTATAAAGTCAGTAAGTTAACAAACTATCTCACTTAACACACAAAGTAATTAATTGCTGCAAGTTGTAATTAGCATATATTTTAGATATGCCTGATTTAAATGAGGCAATGACATTTTGCACAAAACAGGTTGTATCAGACTCCTATATAACTGCCACACAACCCCTAGCTACACAGCATGATGTTACGGTCCCTCTTCTAGTTTATTTAAAGACTGTGGACTATTTATTAAATTATTAGAGTACACAAAGAAACAGATTAATAATCGTGTTAACAAGTGGGGAAGAGACAGGTGACAGTTAACAAATTAGAGTATATATCAAATCAGCTAAGTACCACTCACACTTTAGACTAAGAAGCATGGCTTATTTGATTTAATTAACATGAAGGTTGAGTGAGGAGAGCAACCAAGTATATATTATGTACAAGTGAGGGCATTAGTTTCAGAATTTAAAACTACCCTGAAATTGAAAAATAAATTAAATTACACTTACCTGAAGTTTCCTGGCCATACATGGTTCCGTGTAATTAATGCACAGTTAAGCAGAGAACGTCTTAAGCAAGTCACGCACATATGATATGCACATGCACAATTCCTCATACACCTTTCTCAGAGATGGTAGTTATGTGGTTTCTGATTATTTTAAAATAATTATCCCATGCCATGTCTTATTATAATCTTGTTCATCCAAAAGTGTCAATATTTAGGAAGCTATTTGGTGCCAAGAAAATATCCACATCACTCAACTGATACTTCAGTTTTGTTAATTGTTTTATGTCTGATAGTTCACAATATTCTTGTCTGGAACATACAAGAGAGGAGTCAAAATAAGATGATCAGCATCCTGTCTCCCCAAGTCAACCTCTGCTCCTTCGAAAGAAACCAGCTATGAGTAAGTGTGAATATAAAACATCTTTGTCCTTTTAGCTAGATTATAGTAGCCCCACACTGTGAAATTGTATCACAACAATAAAAGACAGATACTGGCAAGAGATGTTTCCAAATAACACATAGCCTAGAAACTGAAAAAAAAAAAAAAACCTCACACAAATCAGATAGGCAAGTTTATTTTTAAAATCACCTATAAAGTGTTTAAGAGAAACAACTTTTAGGTAGAGCATAGTGCCTCTCAATTTTCTTTCCAATTTTAATATAGTTGCACAAAACAGCAATGAAAGTAAAATTTTCATCTCCTGAAGACAGAAAGATTTACCTCCTACCTGGAGCTCTTTGCTCTATTCAAAAGAGAGAAGAGACAAAAGCCACCCAAGGCTGTTGTTAGGCCTAAGATTCTAAGGCAGTGGCTCTCAACCTTTCTGATGCTAATATGGCTCCTCGTGTTGTGAAGGATCCCAACCACAAAATTACTTCATTTCTACTTCATAACTGTAATTTTGCTACTGTTCTGAACTGCAATGTAAATATCAGATATGCAGGATGGTCTTAGGTGATGCCCATGAAAGGGTCTTTTGACTCCCCCCAAAGGGATCTCCACCGACAAGTTGAGAAACACTGCTCTAAGCAGTATTAGTGCTGCAAGTCATCAAACAGCATTTAAACTATTATAAGTTAAGAAATATGGTAGTTAACAAATCAAGAGCTCTTCAACGCCTTTCAGCTTACTGTTCTCACCTTTGACCCTATCATAGACACTGCAAGTTAGCTGGCTCTAACATGACCGCTGTCTTTTGATCTTTAACATCTTCTCCAGCTTTATAACAATAAACGGTTAAGAGCTTTAGAGCATTAACAATTCTAGCTGGGTTTCAAAAGAAGACATGGTTCTCTTTAGATCCAACTTATAATCTGCAGCTGGGTGAAACAGAGGGCTCATGGGAAAGAAGTCAGTCAGGTAAGAAGCACACATAGCTTTAAAAGACAAGTTCTTAGTTTTAAAACAATTGCTGGGGATAGAACACAGTGGAGGGGTGTTTGTTAGGATGCGGAGTGGCCTGTGTTTCATCCCTAGAACTAAACAACTGACCAAGAGTGAGATTGGATCAATGGGCTTACAACGGTGACAGCCCCTTCAATGTGAGTGAGAACACTAACTCTCCTCGTCATTGCACTTAGATTCCTTACACCAAATTGTGAGGCCATACTAAAAATGCCAAACGTCTGGTTTAGGTACCACTATATTAGTTAGCAAATCCTGATGTTTTTGCTATTTGCAAACCAAACAAGCTGTCTAGTGAGATGTCTGTAGGTATCAGTAGGGGAGTGGAGACATTTCTCTTTGGGTAATTTATTTCTAGATGTGTTTTCACCCCTTCTCAGATAAACACTCTGAGAGAAGACTGAGTTTTTCTGTACCCTACAGTGAGATTAGCAAATGCATAATCACGCTGTGACAGGTCCCGTTCCAATGTGTTTCTCATTAAATTCTCTGTCGTTTCCCTCTGTGGGAAGCTGGAAAATTTATCAGATTTTCGGACAGGAAGGTGAATTTCTGCTGAGGAGGCAACACGACTTCTTTTGCTCTCCAGAGAGCAATTATGTCTGTGCATCCAGCAGCAGTCCTGCGCTTTGTGGCAGGCTTTCTGTAGAGAGTGTGCATTCCACACTCTGACACATGCTATACATTTACATTTTTTTTAAAGTTTCATTGTTGTTGTCCTACATCTACCTCCACAGAGTGCCCCTGAGAGCAAGTGTACCTGCATACTAGATTAATATATGTATAAAAATATACTACTTCCGCAACAGCCCCTATTCACTCAAAGCATTGAGAACAGTGAGTTTGAATTTTGGAGAGGAAAACAGCACACAAGAAACACATTTCCCATCGGTGTCAGTTCTGGTTTTGTTTGTTTGTTTATTTGTTTGCATAAAGGATGCATTGCGATAGAGTGAAGATTGTTTCTGCTTGGTGAAAATAACAAGTTATCGACAAGACTTCTACAAATATCCTTTGAGGGCTAGAGTTCCTGCAAATGATGGCTAGGACCGGAAGCCATGTTAGTTGTATCATTGTGGACTGAAATCTGGTTGCCTCTGTAAGCTCATTTTTACCTTGGATATAATACTGTGTAAAACCCTTAGCCTTCACTGTGGAGAGAGAGAGAGGGAAAAAAACAAAAATTAAAAAGCATATGAACTAAGCACACATGTACCTACTCCAGCTTGTGGAACAGAGCACTAACCATAAGCTCTCTCTCTTTCTCTGTTAGTCCTGAGAATTTAATGTTTAAAGCTGTAAAATCAATTCAGTCAAACAAAACTCCAAGGAGCCAATGTGAACT